GCATTTCTGAAGAAGGGTCTCGACCCGAAATGTCAGCTTTCCTGCTCCTCTGATGCTGCCTGGCCTGCTGTGTTCCTCCAGCTCCACTGTTCTACATATTGGGCCTTGGACTTTATCATAATGAAGTCAGCATTGTGGAAGTGAAGCAGCAGGTCAGTAGTCTATGTTTGAGTCACTGTGGTGATTCAAAGACCATGGAATATTGGGTATTGAGGATCATGGGTGAAAGGGAGGGAATTGAGAAGTCCAGGAGCTGGAAGATGATAGAAAGGCCTTGTTTTTGAGAGGTCTAGTGATCAAATTATTACTTAACTTCTTTAAAAAACTAATAATACCTCAGATTTAATTAACCTGTGAAAATTGCAAGGTCTCTTTAAAAACAGTGCTGCCAATAGCCCCGAAAACCAAGGCCCATGTGATGCAATTTAACTCCAACACTGCTTAAGTAATATTACTTCCAGGTGAGTGAGCAGCTCATTCTGTGATATAAATTTGCTGTTAGTTGAGTAGCACAATTGAATTCAGTTTGGCATGATTGCTTGAGGAATCAAAAACAAACAACTTCTTTTTATTCATTCATAGGATGTGGGTAATTTTGGCTGTGTCAGTATTTATTACACATTCCCAGGTGCTTGAAATATTGATAATAGTTATGGCATTTTAAAAGATGCAAAGATAAATTAAGTCTCAGGATGCAATCTTTTAATCACCCTGAATAAGGTGGGGTATAACCAAATACTCCCTTTTAGCTCTGCAACTACTCCAAAGATCCACGTATCACAATCAGTGTTGGCGTGGTGATTGTGGCATTACCTTTGATTCTAGAAATTGGTGCCAAAAATTGACCTTGGAGTTCTGCACAGATGGGAAGAAAATTAGGGGGAATACTGGCGAGCACTAGAAATCTGGGAGAGTCATGTGATAAGTTGGCTGAGGCCTTTCTTGAATTCAGGAGCAACAAGTCACATTTTCCAGAGTTCCAGCACCGAGAACAAGTTTTTCATGAAGGATCGGTGTGATTCCTATTCATGAAGATTATCAGCTTCATTAATACCAAATCTCTCCTCATTAATATGCAGGTTCCTACACTGTCACCCACTGGAAAAGTACCAGATGCTAAGAATTCCTGACATGGAAGTCACAGCAGGTATATGGCAACAGCAGCTTGCTGCTTGCTTTGCCAGACCATCTTGGGCACCCAGCACTAACATCTCACAGCACGTTCTAGAGCAGTAGCCACGTATCTGCCACCCCTCCCACGCTGATTCCATACACATTGGGATCTGACAGGATCTTCTGCACTTCAGAGCTGCATTTTGGAGCAGACAGGTAACTAACATTGCAGTGAAGTAATTTTGCACACAGGGACAAACTCCCACTCAACGGATCAGGCCAAGCTGCATTTCAGGGATGCTCACTTGCTCTCCTAGCTCTCAATCACTTTGTGCCTACTTAGATGTTCACAGCATCTCTGTTACGCCTTGCCATGACTTTTAACACAAACACAAAGCTAGCCAGTTTGTCATGGTTTTCAACAGTCACCAGATAAAAGGGTGGACATTTTTTGGCATTCATTTACAAGATGTTAGGGCAGCATTTTTTTGCCCAACCCTCATTGCCTAGAAGGTAGTTGAGCCAACTAGATGGCATTGGGTCTCGAGTCACATGTAGGTCAGACCAAAATGGCAAATTTCCTTCCATAAAGGACATTAATGAACCAGATGGAATTTCCCAACAATCAGCAATGGTTTTATGGTGATTAGACACTTAATTCCAGCATTTTAAAAAAATTGCTGAATCCAAATTCCACCATCTGCCATGGCAGGATGTGATCCTGGGTCCCTGGAACATAGCCTAGGTGTCTGGATTAATAGTTCAGTAATAATACCATGCCACCATGGTGCCAGCAGCTTATGTGGCAGACCAATTGGCCATGATTCGAAATCAGAGCAGATCGTGCTCAGTCACGTCAAGGGAGACACCCTTCAATCACTGGGCCCTGGCAAAGTAAGTCAAGGGATTGTTTATTATCAGTCAAAGGGTTTGAGCACACTTAGGCAGCCACTCGGGTCTAACAGAGTCAGGATCCTGTACTTATTGGGGTGAGTCTCCTTGAACACCCCACCATCCACCTTGGCTCTTTCTTCCCTATTATGTGCAATTTTCTCCTACACTGAGAAAAAGGGAGGATTGAAAGTCACGAAAGTGGGTGCCACAACTATTATTGCTCGTGCATGTGGGAGAAGGATGGTAAACTCTCTAAGTAGGAGGTGCAAAGGTGGGTGCATTAGTTTGGCGAGGGTGAGGGGCACAGTACATGCAATAGTAAGAGTAGCTGAGAATGAGCCAGTTCTGAGGAAGTCATGGACTTGAAATGTTAATTCTGGTTCTATCTCCCAGACCTGTGAGTTTGAACAGCATTTTCTGTGTTTATTTTCAGATTTCCAGCGTCCACAGTATTTTGCTTTTATTTGAGCATGAGCCTTGATGAGAGGTGGGAGCATTCGCAGAGAAAAAGTCTGTGATGTAACAGAGAAATGCTGGTGGCACATACCCTGACAGAGTGGAGATGGCCATTGATCTTTGCTAATGGATGCTCCTGCAGTGACCCAGGTGGCAACCTCAGACCAGGCTGGCAGGGTCTGCTGTCATAGCCTCCACTGACTGTCCTGGGATAAATAATTTAATCTCTCTCCACCACCCCCTGTACTAGATCCTCCACCTTGCCTACAAGGTGAGCAGACAATTTCCTCTTCTCTGCCAAGTCTGGGCCAAATGTCATGAACCATGCAGGGTGGCTCCAGATGCCAGTACTGACCATGCATGTATTGACCTTTTAAAGATGCGGCAGCACCAAGGATGACAGTCTATTACAGAATATTCTGCAGTGAGTTATAGAATCCAGTGAGTACTGGATCAAAGGGTGCAATCGGTGTTTGGCAGGTCGCTAATGAGAGGATTTTGGGACAAAAGCACAAGAAAACTCATTAACTCTGTACGAAATTCAACAAAAATGACACTTAGTCAAAATATGGTATGATTGAACTCTTTAGCTCATATTAACAATTACTTTAAAGCTACACTCCTGTACTAACATGTTTGAAGGTGAGTTATCACTTAAGATAACACTTATGAAAACAATGAAGTGACACTAAGATCTATTACCACAGAAACATTTATAGATCTGTGAATCAACATAACAATAGGAATGAGTAACTGTTTTAAAATCAGTGAAGACATTTCAGATTGTTTTAAAAACTGCTTTTAAAAGACAACCTCAAAGACTTGTGTTTATTGTGGACAGCAGTCTTTTAATACATCAGAGTTTGAGACAAGCAAGTCAGTTTGTGATAAATGTTTTATCATTCCAATTGCTGACAGTGATTTTTCAGATTGTGGTAAAGTCATTAAAATCACAATACATCACCATGAAGTACCGTTATTAATTTACAAGAAACTTTTACAGTCATCTAATATTTCAAGATTCAAATATAATATTGTTAAGCAAAGTAATAACATTTTGGGAGTCATAAACAATTACACAATTTGTTTCCAAACAGAAAGTAAACACTAAATAAGATTTTGATGATCCATTGAAATAAATAAAATGGAAAAAGTGCAAAAACAAAATAACTTCACACTTCCAGTGTTAGATTACCTCGCAAACAATGAGATCATGAAAATATATGAAGCAAGGTGTGGTGGTAATGAAGGTAGGCACCAGTTGGTTTCCTGCTCTCCGTTTAGTCGAAGTTACTTTTCATACCCTATAAATGCCATACAACAACACTTGGACACAGGGAAAGAAGTCAATTAAAACTGATGATAAGGAGAAAGGAGAAGCTCAAGACTTAATTTTGTTGTTACAATTTAGGAAGAAACAATTTTGCCTAAAACTTTGGATTTCTTCATCTCCTGTGTACAGATGATTAAATGTTGCACAAAACTACAAGCCAATTATTTCTATATATAAAAAAATCAAATATCAGTACTGTAGCACCTCTGATTACAGCCAGTATACATACATTTCAAGAGATTTCACAAAATATTTCAGAACACTGCAAAACAATGTTACAACACAAGAAAGATTGATGACTAGTAAAAATGTCTTAAAAAATAAATTGTACACAATAACCTGAAAATTAGTACACTTAAGTACTATAAATTAGTATTATGGATTCTAAAAAATCTTCAAAGATGGTATGAACCATCAATTCTCAATTAGAATTTAGTGTTGCATTAAGAACAGAATTCTGCATGATAATGAGTGACTCTTTTATTTGATTGATTCAACTATTTCCAGAATATTATTTTTTCCACAAATGAACCATTTCAAATAGCCTTCTGAACTGATAGTGATAACAGCAAAATGTGTGAAGCCATAGACTATGGAAAGTATGAAGAGCTCAAACATTTGTGAGGCAGAAAACTTAATAGTTGCAAACTCATCCTACAAACTGCAAGAACTTCCTAGAGTCAGAGGATTTCTCCAAATAGCCTAGAAAGATACCTGCATCTAAGGTACCCTGCACGGTTGAGGACCCAGAGCTTTAAAAGTTGCAAGGAATTTTCTTTTCCACCATACCTCACCTCCACAATCCTTTTGAAGGTTCAAGTCTTGATTTCCTGCACTAAGGAGGAGTAAAGAATTGCTCCTTTACTCTGCACCAGCATCCTCGCCTTCCCAATCTGAGGAAGGGTCACCGGACCCGAAACGTTAACTCTGATTTTTTTCTTCACAGATGCTACCAGACCTGCTGTGCTTTTCCAGCAACTTCTGATTTTATCTTCAGTACTGCACTGCAGTATCATCTGAGAATTTTGCGCTCAAGACCTACAATGAGACTCAAATGCGTATCCTTCCGATTCAGAGACACAGCTAACATGGTACGCTGGGGAAATGAGCACTGCATGTCATCACTGAAACCCTCACAATGAACACCCTGGATATCATCACTGGCTCAAAACTTAACTGGATTAACCAAATGAATACTTGTGGCTCCAAGAGCAGGTCTGAGGCTGGCAATTTTACATCAAGTAATTAATCTCCAGACTCCAACAAATTGTCCACTATTTACATGATGCAAGCCACAATGTTAAAAGAAAACTCTCCACATATTGGATAGGTGCAGTTTCAACGACACTCAAAAAACTTGCACACCATTCAGGGCAAAACAGCCTTCTTGTTTGAGACCCCATCCACCACCTCAAGTATTTACTTCAACTACAAGAAATAATGAAACAACCTACCAAGGTTCCTTTGGCATCACCTTCTAAGTTAGCAATCTTTAGAATGATAATAGTGGATTTGCAGGAACACCTCCCTCTATAAACTTTGATCCAAGTCACACACCATCCGACAGCTCACCATTGCTTCCTCATGGGAAATTGGAGATGGGAAATAAATGCTGACCTTGCCAGGGACACCCACAGCACATGAAGAAAAAGAAATGTTAGGGCCCAATTAAGTCCCCGACCAGAAACTCCAACCTTTAATGTCCCAGCTTTCTCTGTCTCTTTACAGCTTAGTTTCCAGCTTTTCTAGAAACCATTTCCTGAAGTTATGCCAGAATATCTAAAATAGTATGAGAATTTTGACCCTGCAATACTTCAGTTCTCAATGAATTATCATTTAAAAATAAAAATTGACAGCAAGCCCCATTAACTATGATTCAACTGAGATGAAATCTCCTTCGGAAATATTGCTATAAAATTAGTCATTTAGCCTTAATTCTTTGGGGTTGTAGTTGCATCTTAAGTATACACTATCACCTCAGCCGTTTTTATTTATCCAAAACCCACCTGAAAGACCACACCGTATACCAATAATGGAAGGTCTGTCTGGAATCCATAGAAATATTTTAATATTTTTTGTCTGTTCTAGATCCAGCATGAACAGGCAGTTTATGTCATCTCCTCAGCTCACATACCATCATGCCTTGCAAATATATCACTATTCCTTCATCATCACTAGGTCAAAGTTCTGAAACTCCCTGTGAACAGGCACTATGACTGTACTTATACCACACAGTGATACAGGAAGCTGGGTCATTGCAAATAGGAATAGGTAATAAATGCTAGCCTTGCCAGCGTTGCTCACATTCCATGAAGGAATAAAGAAAATTTGGAATATACTTATGACTCATTGAAGAAAAATAATTATTTTCTATATTATTAAATAGATCAGCAGATTAAATTTTCCTAATTTCCCTCTAAATTCTCAAAAGAAATGAATGACTCAAGTTAGGAGAGGTTCCCATGGGCACTCTATAATCTTGCTCAGCAAGTTCCATTCAGGTCCAGTTGGCATGTTATTTTTCCTAAGTTTGCATGTGGGTGTTACATTTGCTCCTGATCCTCTTTACTCAGCATAAAAAACATTTTTTAAGGATTCTGGATGATGATCAAGGTTTTTTTCATCTCTTTGGGCACAAAGAAATCAAAAATCAACTGGCTCTGCTAATGCTGTTAACTTGAAATTTAGCAGATCAGTGACTAAAACTGAACCACAGCTTTCCGTTTTGTATAGCTTAATGGCTTGCTATCAGGTGCATTTACCCACTGAGTCATAAAAGTGAACTACACACAGTCTGCCCCTCCCTCCACTATGATTGACCAAGTGGAAATTCTTTAGTTGTAAAGGGGTAGTGTGGCTTCTCACTCCCAATGGTAATGGTGCAAAAAAGTGCACCAAAAGCTGGTGAGCAGAGGTTTGATTTCCAGAAGAATGTAAGTCCAACTTTAAATGAAGGTCAAATAAGGGCCACATAGTCTTGGACATCCTGCAAAAGCTGACATCAGGAGCTTTCTGACAGCAGGCCCAAACTGTTTTTACGTTTTCTGTCTGTTAGGAGAAGTATCACTCAAACATACCAGATTATGTAGAAAATGAAGAGAAAATAATTTCTCACACAGTAAACATTTCCTGACGGAAGAAATTACAAGGCTGGAAGAAGTAACATTTTTATGTATACTTCAAACATTTTTAAAATTCATTTTACAATGTGGGCATCACTGGCTAGGCCAGCATTTTTTGCCTATTTCTAATTATCCAAAGGGCAGTTAAGAGTCAACCACATTGCTGTGCATCCAGAGTCACACATACACCAGACCAGGTAAGGACTACAGATTCCTTCTCTGAAGGACATTAGTGAACCAGAGGGGGTTTTGCCAACAGTTTCATAGTCATCATTAGACTTGTAATGCTAGATTATTACTGAATTTGAACTCCACCATATGTCATGGCACAATTTGAACCCAGGTCCCCAGAACATTAAATGGGTCCCTGGATTAATAGTCTAGTGGTAATAGCACTAGGCCATTTGCTTCCCTGTGAAGTGGGGAATGGAGGAGGAGTTACATTAAGAGTTATAAGGCATTAAAATGCATTACATGCAGTGACACAGAGTATTTACACATACTGTTATTTCAGATGGCTGAATTTTCTGAAGAAAATTAAAAATAGTAAAACAGTGATGTATTTGGACCTTTAAACAAAGTTGGCTATTATTTACATGGTCACCCTCCTTGCTAGATTATCACTGACATTTTGATAGACAGCTGCCACACTTCTCTAACAGTGGATTGTGGGAAAGAAAAATTCAGAATAATGTGAAAGCAGTATCCTAAACTCTGAAAATGACCCACTATGTCTCTAAGGAATTCAGATAGTGTCACTAAAAACAAATAAGTTGGTAATTTCCAGGTATCTTTTTATTCCATTACTTTCTTCTCTCCCTGGAAGGTCACCCTCTTTTTACTTTATTTTAAAAATGTAAACAAACTCCAAAAACTAAAACATTAGTGAAATTAAATGTACATATCAATCTGAAGAACATACATTTGTTTTTCATTGTGCTCCAAAAAGACAACACAAGTTGTGACTTCAACCAGTAGCGAATTGAAGGCTCAATTTCATTAATGGCAAACTAAACTACTGACTTTGTAAAATAAATTTTGGACCATTCTTAAATATTGTGCATTTACAGAATACTTTCAAAAGTAGAAACACTCAAATTTCAATTTCATAACAGTTGAATGGAATAAAACCAATGCACAAATAACCACACAGGAATATTCACACAAACACTAAAACACTTTGCATATGCTTCAGCCAGTACAGTTCTCAACCACTAAATCTCTTTCTAATGAAGGGATCATGCGATGCTTCCTCAACCGATTCTAAAGTGATTGACTAAATCCTCAAATTGAAGAGAAATGTTTCCATGACTGAAATGTTGACTTTGGAGTGTGTAACAATATCTCAACTGCTTGAATCTTTGTGCGTTTTTCTGAAGGAGCTCAATTTGTTTTATTATGAAGACTGAGGTACCACCTCCATAACTTTTTGACTGAAAACAGTTACAGAATCTGCAAGAAAGTAGGAAAAAATATTTATTGATAAAACTAACAATATGTTAGTGCTAATAACATGTTTTCAAACATACTAGTTAATAAGACAGTAACTGGCTGAAAATGGTGCCAACAGACAACCTGTAAACATCAAATCTCTAGACCTTACTATTTTTAGAGAAGACTAGCACAAAGAAGCCAAAATACGAGCCTGTTTACTCAGCAGGTTTCCAATAATTTGGAAATTGGAGTTCTATGATTGCTATTTTAGGCCTGAATAGTCAGGTTGAGTGTGGGTGGTAGACTAATTAGTAAAGTTAAATCATATTGGATTTAGGGAGAGCTTGTCAATTGGATACAAAATTGGCTTGATGATAGGAAACAGAGGATGGTGGTGGAGGTTTGTTTTTTGGACTAGAACCCTGTGACCAGCAGTGTTCCACAGGGATCACTGGTGGGTCTACTGTTGTTTGTCTTTTATATGAACAATTTGGATAAGAATTTAGTAGGAATGGTTAGCAAGTTTACAGACATACCAAAATTAGTGATATAATCAATAGTGAAGGTGGTTATCTAAGATTGCAAAGGGATCTTGATCAATTGGGCCATTGGGCTGAGGAGTGGCAGATGGAGTTTAATTTGGATAAACATGAGGTATTGCATTTTGGTAAGACAACAAGGGTAGGTCTTGCACAGTTAATGATAGGGTCCTGGAGAGTGTTGTCAAGCGAACAGACCTGGGGATTCGGGTATACAGTTCTTTGAGAGTTGTGTCACAGGTAGACAGGATGGTTATGAAGGTATTTGGCACACTTGCCTTTTGCTTAGATCACCGAGTATAGGGATTAGGATGTCATCTTGAGGCTGTATGGGATGTTAGTAAGGCCACTTTTAGAATACTGTGTACAATTCTGGTCACCCTGCTTTGGGAAGGATATTATCAAATTGGAGAGGGTTCAGAGAAGTTTCACCAGGATGTTGCTAGAACTAAAGGGTTTGAGTTATAAGGAAAGGCTGGATAGGCTGTGACTTTTTTTTCACTGGAGTGTAGGAGTTTGGGGGCTGACCTTCTAGAGGTTTATAAAATCAAAGGACATAAATAAGGTGAATAGCAAAGGTCTTTTCCCTAGGGTGGGAGAGTTCAAAACTAGGGAGCATATTTTAAGGTGAGAGGAGAAAGGTTCAAAAGGGACTTGAGGGGCAACTTTTTCACACAGAGGGTGGTTTATATGTGGAATAAACTGCCAGAGGACGTGGTAGATACAGGTAAAGTTACAACTTTTAAACAGTTACTTGGATAGGAATAATTTAGAAGGATATAGACCAGATGCAGGCAAGTGAGACTTGTTTCATTTGGGAAACTTGGTCAGCATAGATGAGTTGGACCAAAGGCTCTGTTTCTGTGCTTAATGACTCTATGAATCTATGACCAATTCTACTGATGTTGGAGTGGAAAGGATTTTCTTTTATTCATTTGTGGGATGTGGGCATCCACACTGGTTGGCTAGCATTGCCTGTCCCTAGTTTCCCTTGGAGGTCGTGGTGAGCTGCTTCTTGAATCATTGCAGTCCACCTGCTGTTGTTGATCTACAATGCCATTTGGGAGGGAATTCCAGGATTATGACCCAGTGACAGTGAAGGAATGGTGATATATTTTCAAGTCAGGAAGGTGAGTGTTTTGCATGTGGTAGTGTTCCCATGTATCTGCTGTCCTTGTGTGTTTGGAAGGTGCTGTCTGAGGATCTTTGAAGTTCTGCAGTGCATCTTGTAGATGGTACACACTGCTACTACTGAGCATTGGTGGAGGGAATGGATGTGCGTGTGGTGCCAATCAAGCAGGCTGTTTTGTCCTGATGACGTCGAGCTTCGAGTGTTGTTGAAGCTGCACTGACCCAGGTAAATGGGGAATATTCTATCACATTCCTGACTTGTGCCATGTAGATGGTGGACAGGCTTTGGGGAGTCAGGAGGTGAGTTACTCACCACAGCACTCCTAGCCTCTGACCTGCTCTTGTTGCTGCTGTGGTTATGTGGGGAGTCCGACTGAGTTTCTCCTAAATGGTAACTCCCAGGATGTTGAGGGGGGGGTTCATGATAGTAACACCAATGAATGTCAAGGGCCAGTGGTTACATTACTGAAGATGATCATAGCCTGGCGTTTATGTGGTGCGAATGTTACTTGCCTCTTGCAGTCCAAGCCTGGACATTGTCCAGACCTTGTTGCATTTGAGCACAGATTGCTTCAGCATCCGAGGACTTATGAATGTTGGTGAAAATTGTGCAAAAATGAGTGAGCATCTCTACTTCTGACCTTAAGATGGAGAGAAGGTGATTGATAAAGCAGCTGAAGATGGTTGGAATGCTCCATCTGTACCACCGTTTTCCCCAGGTTCTTCTACACTCCGCCTTTCATGTGTTCATATAACCTTTTACACAATCTTCTCCACAATTACCCAAAGGACACCTCATCTGACTCGAAGGTGTTCTGGGACCAGATCCACCGATGTATCTCAGGCCTCCAAAGGGGTATCCTGCCTATCGCACATTGGATCAGTGGTTAGCACTGCTGCCTCACAGCGCTAAAGACCTAGATTTGATTCCAGCCTCTGTGCAAACTCCATACGGACAGTCGTCATTCTCCCCATGTCTGCATGGGTTTCCTCTAGGTGCTCCAGTTTCCTCCCACAGTCCAAAGGTGTGCAGGCTAGGTACATTTGCCATTGAAAATGCAGGATTACAGGGAAAGGATAGGGGCTTGGGTCTGGGTGGGATGCTCTCTGGAGGGTCAGTGTTGATTTGATGGGCCAAATGTCCTGCTTCTACACTAAAAGTGATTCTATGAAACCGACTGAGAACAGACCTGGTTTTAGCCTGTCTAATCTCTGCACTCCAAGCTCCACACACTAGAGATTCCAAAATCTGATTTCAATGGAGGCAGCTGGCCTTTTAATCCCCTCATGCATAAAACAAGGCCTGACACCAATCTCTTCTCTTCTCCCACCTCTGTCTGACCCCTCACCCCCTGATATTGGAGCCCCGACTTCTTTTGGCTTTTTCAGCACAAAAGAGATGCTCTCGGTCATGGTAAAAATTGCAGTGTGAAGTATTATATTCACCTTATGATGCATTGTTTACTTATTAATCATATATTTTTATCGTGATCATACGTACAGATTGTATCCAAGAGCCACTTAGGTTTGTTTTGCCAGTAAACGCCAACATAATAGACTGGAAGCCCAGAGAGGATAATGACCAATCCAATAGCGCATTCCACAGGCGTCATCCATATAGAAACAACAATCAGGAAGACACAGGCTAGCACAAAACAGATTGGCAGCAGGATGTTAAACTGCAAGGTAAAAGATAGATTTAAAATAGCTTTCAATGAAACATTTTCAACTTCATTAGCACTGAATATCCATTTGAATCAAGTTTATTGTTTCTCCTACATTTACTTTTTAGGTCACTCACGTCATGGGATAGATCAGATCGATATAAAAATCGATAGATTTATGCCATCCTGTGCCAATGAAAAATCCATCTGTCAAACCATAATTTGGCTCTAATACAAAAGGGCTAGTAAAGAATGGCTGTAATTCATTCAAGCACAATATTGATATTCTGAAATGACATTCAGTTGACGTAATTCATATGGATTTTAGCAAAGCTCTTGATAAATTCCCATATGGGAAACGGATTGAGAATGTTAAGTACATGGATTTGAGGGGAAACTTGGCAAAATTCCAGAAACTGGCCTAGTGACAAGTCACAAAGGGTAGTGGTAGAAGGCTGTGCAAGTGCCTGGAGGCCGGTGCCAGCAGTGTACCTCAAGGATCTGTACTGGGACCCTATAAATAAATTATATAGATGAAAATGTGGGGGCAATGTCAAGCAAATTGGCAGATGACCCCAAGATTGGTAGAGTGGTTAATAGTGAAGAAAACGGTTGTAGGTTACAGGAAGATACAGAGGGGTTGGTCAGATAGGCAGACCAGTGGCAGATGGTATTTAACCCACTTATGTGCGAGCTGATGCACTTTGGAAGAAGAAACAAGATGGAGTATTTAATGAATGGCAGGACACTGGGTAGCTTAAAGGAACAGAGGGATCTTGGGGGAATTATTCACAGATCCCTGAAGTTGGCAGAGCATGTGAACAGGATAGTTAAGGCGATCTATGGGGCACATGCCTGCATCAGTTGTAGTTACATAGAATAAAACAGCCAGGAGGTAATGTATGAATTGTACATATAGTGTTGGTTACGACACAGCTGGAGTACTGTGTGCAGTTCCGGTCACCTTACTACCAGGAAGGCTGTGATAGCACTACAGAGTACAGGGGAGGTTCACCAGGATGTTGCCTGGGATGGAGAAACTGAATAGGTTTGGATTGTTTTTTCTACAGCAGAGAAGATAAAGGGGGACATGACTGAGGTGCATAAGGTTATGAAGGGTATAGAAGGGTGAATAGAGAGCAGCTGTTCCCCTTGGTTGAGGGGTCAATCATGAGGGCATAGTTTTAGGGTAAGGAGCAGGAGTTTCAGAGCCGATTTGAGAAAAACTTTCACTCAGCAGGTGGTGGGAATCTAGAATGCACTGCCAGAGAAGGTAGTGGAGGCTAGAAACCTTACAATTTTAAAAAAAATTGGATCAGCACTTCAAATAGCATAATATTCAAGGATATAGGATAAGTGCAGGAAATTGGGATTAGTGTGCCTTTAGTGATAGTTATATTGATGCAGACTCGATGGGACGAAGGGCCTTTTCTGTACTATATGACTCTGAATCTAAAATGCTGTGTTATAGAAAGGAGGAGAGCTATTAGCAAATTGTAAAATACTTTCTTGCTGATGTCCTTTTAGGTCACAAATCTACTTTGAATATTTACAACAACTTGTTAAATCCCTTGCTGTGAAAGGTCAGAAATAATGCTTTAATCACAAAGTACATTATTCAAAAGAGAAGGTCACTTTTTACTTTCTGGATTTTATACAAAGTGGATTTTTCTCTGGCTTAGTGCCTAACACCACAACTTGTGAATTGGGCTATGACTAGGAAGCACAGCACCTGCTGATGGAGCCCTTCCCTCAGGATCAAATGCAAGCTCATGTCACAGTAAGACAACACCTCCAGGGTCCCCATTGTTCAGTGAGACTAAGACATAGGAGCAGAAATTAGGCCATTTGGCCCATCAAGTCTGCTCTGCCATTCAATCATGGCTGATAAGTTCCTCAACCCCATTCTCCTGCTTTCTCCCAGAGATATCAGGGTAATCAAAATCAGATCACATGATTTACTTCAGACATTTTTCACACCACTTTAATTGTATAAAACTGCTCTGCTCTCAAGGAAAGAAACATTTGAAACAGAGATAAAGGAACAGTGGCTAAAAGCAAATGCAACTCCTAAAGTCAATTTATATTGTGGTATTTTATGACTTCAAGCACCACAAATTTTTTTACGTCACTTATCCAGCACCCGAGGACAGAACTAGCTGCGAGCACAGACCCCTGAGGAATCACACTGAATAGTTACGTGACTACTGTACTGTTAAAATAATGAAAGTTGACACTTAATGTTCAATGTATGTTTTTCCTAATATAATGATCACCAAATTATGCAGCAAATTCCCAACCCCCTGATAGTACTGTTCCATGGGATAAATACACATATTTCAAAGATTTCTTAAAGTATGACATACTGTGCTCCAAATTACCTGCCTTAGGTCTGACCACTCCCCTAACTAACTTGACCTCTGCAGTGCATTAGGTTCGTGCTGAAGTTGGAGGATGCTAATTTCCCCAAATCTCTTAAAGCAGCTCTGCAAATGACTCCCAGGACAACAGATGTGCAGAGGTGTCGTGGATCACCTGACCTCAGTTTTGTTTCCTTCCTCCTTGGAAATTCTAACTCTTCTACTGAGCACTAACCCCTTGATGGTGAAATGATTTTATTTTGTACAAATTACAATTTGCTGAGCTGGAAGTTACTGAGAAAGCCAAAGTTATGTACTTGTTTTATTTTACACACGACTAGCATGAGTTGATACCATTATAGCCACAAGAGAGCCCTCCCATACATTGCATGTAAACATGTGAAATGGATCAGGATTATAGCTGCCCATTTACCTTAATAGGCCGTTCCATTTCTGGCTTCTTGTAGCGTAGCCACATCATTCCGACAATGGCTAATGCAATACATAACCAGTTGAAGAAACTGAAGAAGTTAATGACAGAGTATATGTTGACAGAGAATGCATACATCAAAGTCATCCAACACTGCAAAACAAAAAGGAACCAAGAAAACATCAACAGGAGAACAAACTTTACAGATTTGAGCAAGTTCTTCACTGTGAAACAATTCAAGTTGGTGGGGGTGGGGGGTGAACTCCTCAGTGCCTAATGGCGAAACTGAAAGGATCCCCACTCCAAAGGCCACTTGACTGAAAAGCCTGGCTTCCGGGGTGGGAGCAGAAGGAGCCACAAAACTGTGCACTTCGCCATTCTGACCAGGGAGCGCATATCCATGTGTGGAAGCTATGGGGGCACAGGGCATGACTGACAGCAAATCAGTGGGCTCAGCAGCTAAATGGAAATGCGCCTACCTCTTCACTTTAATAGTTCCTTGCCTCAGTTTAGTTGATGGCTTTCCCAAAGCCAGGGAAATCTGGTAGGTCTGGATTAAATTTGAAATAGTGCAGCTTAATTATATTTAAAATGGGAACAGATTGGACATTGAGATCCCACCTCCAACCACTTCCCAAACTCTCCCATCCCACTTACATTAAAGCTGAAAGTTGGCGTTTTCTACCAGTTTCTTGGAATTAAAATTTCCCCCTCATGTTTCCACTGGGACACCAAATCTGCTTTTAGCAAAGCAATTACCCTGAAATAGTGCCAGTAAAACCACACATTTCCGTACTAATGGAAAGAAAGCAGAGCTCAGAGCAGTCAGGCCATGGCTGCAATGGTTACGGGCTGGCTATGTAACTTGACCCCACCATCAGTATATTAAATGCCTGAACAAGTCCACTAATGGCACAAGGCAGCAGGCAGATCAATTTGCAATCAGAATAACGAGAATAGTATAGTATTGTTTCATTGAAGTAGTTAATGCAATAACTTCTTGGGTCATGAGAGAGTTGTACTTTGTCTTATCTACTGATCTTTAGCAGACAAGTCAATAAAATGGAAGCTGTTACTTTAAGGTGCATGAAGAAAGCCATTGTAAATGTAATGAGCAGAAAGGAATTGTTCAAATGTTATAAAAACAATAATTTGACATCAAAAGTCTAACTTGCAAGATGAATACTTCCATCTTTATTAATTGGAAATACATTTTACTGCAACTCCTAATAAATTTCCTTCACTTCTGACCTTAGTTTATTCATGGGATATGACTGTTGCTGGCTGGGCCAACATTTATTGCCAGTCCCTAGCTGCCCTTGAGAAGATGAGGTGAGCTGCCTCCTTGAATCGCTACTGGCCATTGGTGTAGGTAGATCCACGATGCTGTTAAGGAGGGAGGTCCGGTGTCTGACGCAACAGCAGTGAAGGAACGGCAATGTATTTCCACATCAGGATGGTGAGTGGCTTGGAAAGGAACTGGCAGGTGGTGGTGTTTAATGTATCTGCTGCCCTTTAATCAGAACGGACCAATGTTCTCTCTCCTGAAAATGTAGAGCTTGCTCATATGCATGTGCAAGGAGATTGGGGATTATCTGAGGCCTCTTGCAAGGCTGGATTTGATGGAGGGATTAGGGATTTCACATATCAAAGCAGCACCACCAAAGAAACAGTGCATTATGGTACAAGCCTACTAGCTTTGCATGGATCCAGGCCGCAGATGAGTAATAGTGGGATGAGGGTCACAGGGAAGGGGACTGGCTCTCAGCAGACCTTTCCTGATGCCAGACATTGAGTACCTTTAAACAAGGCACTCTTGTGCCCCAGAGGCCACCAACAATATGGCAGCTTTGCTGTGTCAACACCAGTGACAGCAGATAAGGTCCTTAAGTGGGCATTAGTTGTCTGTCAAATGCCTCAATTTGCAGGAGGGGAGGAAGACAGACTTAATTGGAGTTCAGGTGGAAAGGCAGCAGGGCCTCACCTGCTATCCTCCCACCAACTAAATACCCCAACACCACCACAAATCATCACAGGGAGGACATTAAATATCACCCACCATACAGGACAGCTACACCACCTTGCTTATCATTTACCATTGGTAGAGAATCCAGAGAATATTTCACTGTCCAATGCAAATCAAACATTTAGTTTCTCAGGCAGTTCCCGTTTGGGATTTGAATTAGATTTTCAGCAAAAAAATGCCCGAGTACCCATATTCCAAAGGATTTTTGAATTTTATGCCCTGGAATGCAGCTCTCCAGTTTGATCTTCCACTGTGTTTTTGCCGAAAAGCAAGATAGTGGCAGGAAAATGTGGGTAATAAAATAAAGAGAAAAGCCCTGCCACCACACTCCAAACCTAATCTGACCTCTCGCACTGTAGCCAACCACCTAATCCAACTACCCACCCACCCCCAACCTCTCAAATCATACAAGTGTCAGTGGTGGGATGGTGGAAAGCTTTCTTCCTATCTGTTCCTCTTACCAGGTGGTCACAGGTTCTAGATATTGGTGGCAACAACTTTTATTTCAGCAAGGTGGAGGGATACAGCCAAGTATAGGCCTTGTCCATGTCTACAACAGTCTCCAGAATTTATCTTTATAGGTCATCTCCTATGCTGGCTATTTGTTTTTCTCTTACAGGTTCTCCCTTTTTAAAAATCCCCTGCCACCTCATCCAGTGTTACAGCAGTGACCCCACTACAACATGGCCATATTTTCTAGGCCTAGTGGGTGATGCATCCTTGAAGCCCTATCTATATAAAAAATTGCACACAATCCAAGAAAATAGGTCTGGGCTAAAGCAGCCTCAGAAAGGAGCACAGAGTCCCAGCCCAACAAGTACAGCCCTGAAGTGGAGAATTTAGCCCACTCCAATTTTTTTGGTACTGAAAAAGACATCTATCCACTGTTTCTGTCAAAATCTGTATTTGACTGTTATTAAATCAGTCAGGGAATTTTATCTTGCATCTTTCACTGAAGAGAAAGAACAATATGTTCAGTGCTTTAGCTTTCTATCATGGACACCATTTGCCAAAGCAGGAAATGTATGCTGTGGGAACAATGTGCAAGGTCAATCATCATAAAATATACAAATTAAGTAGATTATAGGATAATTCTCAATTGTTTTTCTTTGGAAAACCAGAAAGTGAACATCAAATTTCTGCTACTTTCACCACTGAAACACCACAGTTGGACAGGCAGCGTGTTTACCTTGAAGCCAGCTGTAAGGCACTTAATGTGCAGCAACTTGTGTTCTTTCGTCAAGTAGTGTTGTCAATTGTGATAGCAATCACTTCAGGGCTCACTACTTCAAGTCAGCCTCAATAGTGTTCTGTCAGTCTATGCCCATTTGTGTGCTCGGTTAACGTAATCCTCATTATATGTGGAGATTTGGAGCCTGACCCACTTGACTAAATGTTTTTTTTTAAAAGAAACCTCTTTGCTTGGTGCCAATAACAAATCCGATTCACTTTAACTATAACTGATTGGATCATGCACATACTCGGCGATGCAGTTGAAGCTCTAGTAATATAGTTAGTTGCAAGCAACATACAACACTCCTCAAGGCAACATTATTTCACCAAAATAACATCCCTTTAGATTACTTTTGATTATCAACTTTAGTCTGCAACTATTCTGTACATTTTTATTTTGTATCCTGCAATGGCCCTAACTACTCCTATTTCTGTAACTTCCTTTGTGGCTATAACCTGATGCTAAGTGCCCTATTCTTCCATCACTGGCTTTTTGCATTCCTTTCTTCAACCTGCTACTTAATGCTCTGCCTTTAGCTGCCTGTGCACCAAATTTGATGATTCTCCTCCTGAATTTTTCCCTTTCCACTTTTCTCATCACCCTTTAATGTCCTCCTTTAATCAAGATTAGGCCATTGACAAATGTCTCTCTCTTTCTTCCGTATAATGAAGTGTTTAGGGATATTTGTTAAAAACACTCAGTGTAAACGTTGTTGTTATATCCATTGTTGCCTCCACTAAAACATCTATACCTCTAGTGCACAAGTTTGAGGGAAAAAAAGTACACAGTTTTATGCAAAGACAACACTTATTTGGAAAAAAAAATCCTAATCATTAGAGCTACAGAAATTCTTTTGTGAACAGATAATCCAATGATTTTCTTCATAAACTAAAGCAGGTAGATACAATCTGAAACTTTGGTAAATCTCACACTTCCTCTTCTCTTGTACAACCTCAACAGCAATTTTGCACCCACTTATTTTTTGAGAGTCAGAGTATAACTACATAGCAACTTGACAATGCACTTACTGCTCCTACTTCTATTAAATCAAGAATACCAATACAGCAAATAATTCTGGCAGACACTAATGAGTACAACCAGGGCACTTTTAAACCGGATCAAATAAAAGTTCAAATTACAGACACCAAAAGTGAAATTAAAGGCTTCAAAATAACAACACACCAAATGGTTCACCATTTTTGTTTACAACTATTCTGTGTTAATGACTTATAATTGCAATCACAAAATTATTGCAGTTACTTGAAAAACTCATTGTATTCAGTACTGTAAACGTGTAAGTTGTTTTCAATAATAGAACAGGGCTGGTTTTGTACCTTGTACACTTGTGGAAAAAATTAAGCAAACAGTTCCATAGCACAGAACTGTCCTCTTGTTTACACAGTCAAACATCAATTAGGAAATAAATACTTACAGTAAATATTAAGGATGGCAAGGGAGTAAAACGTTTTGGGTGAATCATAGACAGAAGGCTAGGCAAGTGACCCTCTCGTGATCCCACAAAGAATAATCTGCAATAAGTAAAAGGAACTATTAAAGTTAAAGAAAAAGCTATAACAGGGAAGGCAAACATTTACTGATATCAATAAGTGAAACCAATTTCCTGCAAAAGGCTGACACTGGGCTCATTTCTGTTCTGTTTCTGCACCTCCTGACTGTCATTCATCTTGGTGGGTTAGGTTCCATGCTTAACTACCTAGTGGTAGCCAGACAGTCATTGTTAATGATTTCACTTCTCACTATGCACCAATATCTCCAATGTCTCCCAAGGATCAATACTTAGCCGCTGTCACTTATCACTTACATGTTGCCCTCAAAAACATCACATTAACTTACAGCTTAACTTTCCATGTACACACCAACATCTCATGTCACTTTTAATCGACCGACTCTTCCATTGTTTTCACGTTGTCAAACTGCTTGTATGACCTCCAGTACTGGTGAAAAAAAAAGAGACAGGTCCTCCAAACAAATTCCTGTTAAGAATGAGCCCACTGTCCTTGGAGATCACCAAAAGCACTACTTTGTAACTGCTAACTCCATCTTTCTCTCTGGCAACTGTTTGAAACCGAATCAAATGATTCACAATCTTGGCAACAAATTTGGTCTGAGCTGGACTGGCAAGCACAATCCCACAATCACCAGGATAGTCTATTTTCACCTTTCTAACATTACTTGACTTTGCCGCTGTTTCAGCTCATCTGTTCTGCCTAAATCCTCATTTCAGCCTTCTTCAACCTCTAGACTTGCATATACCTGGACTTGGTACTTGAACTAGAGGCCATACAAGCTACACCATCCTATCCACTAACTATCTTGTGTGTGTGCTTGGTGACTTGGTTGCCAATTACACAACACCTCAATTTCAACACGCTGAGCCTTGTTTTTGGACCCAACCCCACGCTAGCTTTCCTATCTTTAGACCCACAACCCTCTGAGTTAATTTCTAACTCTGGCCTCTTAAATAGTCTAAATTTTAGAAGCTCCATCAATGGCAGATATGCCTTTCATTGCAATGCCATAGTTCTGAACTTCTCTTCCTAAAATTCTCCTCCAGTCTCTCTCATATTCTGCCTTTAGCAGCTCCTTAAAGCCATACATCTTTTACCAAGCTTCTGGTCGTCTACACTGATTCTCTCATCTAATGACATGGTGCTAAACTTTGATAAATAATATTCCCGTGAAGCACTTTGGATCCCGCAAGAAATCCCAACAGAATCCAAGTTCAGCTTGACATCACTGGCACTTTCTAAAACTGTACTGAAACACAATGCATGATGGGAAGATTCTTGCCAGGTCATCAGGGTTCTCAGCTGCAAGCCTGGAGGGAGATGGAAAGACATCTACACTGGTCTTTTTCAGGAAGGCCTGCCAAACAACAAGTCTACCATGCAGTGGCAAGGCCATAGCTGTGGCCTTCCTAGTATCTGTTCTCTGGGAGGCAAAGTTTTATCTTTTGGGAACGGGTGGTCAATCAGAGGCCAGCAGCTTGTGTGTTCAGCAAGGCTGTGGTGGTAGGGACAACTGCTGAAAAAACAAGCTCCAGAGTTCCAGGATCACAGTGACCTAGGCCACATAATGCCAGGGCTACAGGTTTGGACAGTGGGGATCCTGGGGCTTGGCAGATTTGGTTTTCAGCAGCACACCCATTGCCACTGCTCCTCAACATCCCGATGCCCAATTCCTCGATCAGGCACTGAATGCCTTTGACCGAGAGAAACCACACTGCACTTTCCCACTCCAGAACAACACTGGCCGTGCGGTTTTAGTGGCCACAGTTGTAGAGGCCTTTAAATGGTCAGTCATTGGCTAGTTATGAGTCTCTACTGACAGTGGAGCAAGAAGTCCCACTGTGGGCTTTCCACCTGGAATTTAATTATGCAGAAAGCAGAAGCGGCAAGCTTTAAGTACGCCATCATTGCACCTAATTAAATGCCATTCTCACCTCCAAATGTGTCACTAGTAAGAGCAGTATTTGGACAAATGTCACTTGATTTTTAAGTCTAGCCACACATTGTTGGCTTGTATATGTGAAAATTTCCTAGTCACTGGTTGAGTTTTCAGTTTGGCGGAATAAATAAAGAAACTGAACTGAATTTCTCAGTTCTCAGTCATCTGCAGAAAGTGTTTCTCATAAAAGCCAAGCCTGTGTTCTAGGCTCATAGTTGAATGCAATTCTGAAGGACTACCACATTGTTGGAGCATCTATCACATCAAATGTAAAACGAGGTCCATGTGCATGCAAAAAGATAATCCCACGGTACTATTTGAAAAAGAGAGGGAATGTCTCCCCATGTTCTATCCAATAAGGACATATTTTCTCTCTTAACAAATCAAAACAAATACACCACTGGTCATTCATTGCAACTGATGTTCAAAAGAATTGTGCTATAAAACCAGCTACCACATTACTCTATGAAACAGTGACCACCACCTAAAGGTTCTGTGAAGATTCTGTCAGTGTAATGAGGCATTACATATACGCAAGTGTTTTCTTTCTTAGAATGAAGCACGGTTTTCTTTTCAAGATCATGCCATCACAAAATCATTTTGCAGTTTTCCTACTACAGAGATGAAATGAGGGGTGACATGATTTTGAAAATTCAATGATAAATCTCAAACATCTGTATATAGAAATAGTGCACTCTTTCATAATCTTACATTAAAGAGAGCCTTATATTGAGAAATATTTATAGGTTTTTGAAAAATAGAAGAGTTTTTTTTAACATACATAGGAATAACATAACACATTAATGAATCTGCGTGGACACATCTTACAGGATAACATAACTGTGTGCAGATCTTGGCACAGTTTTTATTTAGCCACAATCACAACAAGTTGAATGGACTGCTTGCTGCATGCTGGACAACCATCTATCAGGAGAGGTAAAGAGGGGCACGTAATAAGAAAACACAAGACAGAGTGAAATGGGGTGGACATAGAACAACTTACAAAATATGGCTTCCTTTTAGTAGCTATTCCAAATAGATTATAGTACAGCCACCTCCTCACTTAAATGCATCTGGAGGTCATAATCAATCTAATCCAAAGCTTGTGTGTGGGTTGTAAATACTACGTTAATTGTATTTAGTGGTAAGTAGGCAATGGGCACCTGAAAACATATAAGGAAACACTTACTGCACAAATGAACAGTGGTCTGTGTGCATTAGGAGGTCAAAAAAATCAGGTGCTGTTGTATGGGGGATGTGAGGACACACAAATTAAGAGAAGGAACCTGCATCAATATGAATGTCTTAGATATCCCTTCACAGTAAGTGGATTATTTTTGAAATGCATTGGTTTGATATATAGGAAAAACAAGCAGCCAATTGCTTCAGGATAAATGGCTTCCTTCTGTGCTCTAATGATTATGTGATCAGAAAATGAATGATTTTTGTTTTCATGGTGGTGCTTGAGGGAAGCACATTGGCCTGGACAAATAAAAGTCAAGAGATTTTTATGTCCACCTAAGTCAACAGACAACTAGGATTCATGTCTCATCCAATGACAACATCTTCAAACACGCAGAGCTTCATGAGTAGAACACTCAAGTGTGTGCCTAAATTATGCGATGGACTGGGAATTTGACTCTCAAACTTTTGAATCAGAGTGCTATCAGCAGTACTGACTCAGTGATCTAAAACAGACAACCATGCAAGTGCCATGCCTAGAGAGAGGCAAATTACTTTGAAAGTGTAAATCAATAATATGTTGTCTGAGCTTTTGTCCAAGGAATGTTCAGTACCAGAACAGAGCCAGAGTGGGATCAATGCCAGGAATGATCAACAGCCCCACTGGGGATGGAAGATGCAGTGCTATACCAAAAGAAGAGGCAGAACTAACCCCAGAAGTAAGCAAGAATTTCTTCACAGGGTTAATCAAGGTAATGTTTTAACATTAGAGGACAGGGAGAGGTGTCATACTTCTGCCCTGCTCTACAAAAGGTGTTCTAGCAGGCTTCCACTGCCAACCCAGCGATCACCTGTGCTGCTCTCCTGAAGACAGCAATAACAGCAGCAAAAGTGAGGCCCTGTGATCTTCCTTCCATGTTTACACGCAATGAGAAGGTTTAGGATCGTGCAGTTTGTTTCTCTTCAACCCACTCACATAACAATGTGTAATTAGGCTAAAATAGTTAAAAGAACTTTCTACTGTAGATGTTTATTAACTGTAATAATCCCAAATATACAATTATTACATTCTAATCACTTTACCTAGATGAAGTGAAGAGTGATCCATTGACAGAGCCAAAACAAGAGAGTCCTACAAATACAGGGACAATCCAGGCCATCACTCCCAGGTGGATATTACCAAATTCCTGCATAACAAGAAAAAAGTCTTTAAATAGGAATAAAATACTATGGCTTCATTCAGAGTTGTAAATATTGCAGCATAAAATGCTAATGCAAAAAGAGATTATATTTTATATTTTGTGTACCTGCATGCCTAAATGCTTACTTTGTAAAGTGCCTAACTTGACCAGTACAGAATCAAAATGTTTTCAGCTATACTTAATTTTGAATGAGTTTACTTTAGCAACAGGATCCTATGCATACTGCAGGTGAGGGAACAGCAGGAACAATGTAATTATATAGCTGACAGGTAGATCCTGCCCTGCATGCTTCCGCATTGTTTTTTGAATTTCAGGATTTTGACTAAGTGACCGTGAAAAAAACATCAGTACAGATCCAAGTCAAACTGGTGTGTGATTTAGAGGGTAACTTGTAGCTGGTGGTGCCCCCATGCACCTGCTGCTCGTTCTTTTAGGTGGTAGACTTTGCAAGTTTGGAAGGGCTGTTGAAGGAAATTTGGCGATTTATTTGAGGAGTGAGAGAGGGAAACAACTGATTTGCCCGAGCCTTTCCCAAGTGACGTGGCTTTAGGAAATGAACCTTCCTTACATCAGAATCTTGAAAGCAAACGTCACATACTTGAACAGAAACTCAGTTTTGCAGTCCTGTGCCCTAATAAGTGCTTCCTATCTGTAAATTACACAATTCAACAAGTTATGGGGATGTTATCAGTTCAGATTATACCATTCTTGTTGAGAACAAAGGTTGCGTGCAAGTGATCAAACATGCCGATTTGGATACAAATGCTAAGTACATAAAAGTACAGTTGAAAAATAGATGCACATTCAAGTCACAAACTTGCAAGATATGAAACCTCACCAAGGATAAGTACCCTGCAACCATTCTGACAGCATTCCTATTGGGATTATCAAATTCAGATACAAGAAAAAAAGATAAGTTTATGTTGGGCAACAGATAAATATCCATCCTTACTTCAAAATTGATATTTCTTGGCCAGACAAAGATGATAAAAACATGAAAATTCAAAGCAGCAGCAAAAGCAATACTCTTAACAGCTAAATACTTGCTGCAAGAAATGAAAAAAACTGAAAAAAAAGGAAAAATATGAAAATATATGACTTAAATCCTGTTTAGAAGTATGCATTGTCTTATTACCCTCATTTGTAACTACTTACCACAGCAACAGCATCTGCCTTTAGCATTAACTGAGGAGACAGGGTAGTAAAATATGCCATGTTGGTCAGTACGTAAACAATTGTTACAATGGGCATGGAAATGATAATAGCACGAGGCAAATTCCTGAGGAACAAAGAAAGGTTACTGCTTTTAAGAGTGTTATAATAGCATGTTTTACATTTGCATGAAAATCAGTTTGATCGTTTTAAAGCATACATCACTTACTTATAATCTTAACAGCATAGTTGTGTTACTCCAACATCAAAACAGAATGGCAAATCACTGCGCAAGGCAAAGGTCCCATGCTTTAACATTCACAAATTGCATTAATAAGCAGCAGACAGATAGAAACACCCAGTACAGTTTCATAGCTAACGGGAATGTTGAGCCGTTTTTGTAGAATAATTGTTGTTCTGTTTGAACTTTAAGGTAACTGCCTTTATTAAATAGCTGCAAAGCCAACTATGATTTTTGTCATAGTGTTTATTTAATCTATTTAAAAGCTAAGTAGGCTGGGTTGCTAAAAATCAATTAAAAGGGTGAGGTGCTGTAGGAACCTTTATAAAATCAGAGTGGACGTGAAGAAGCAGGCCATGTGGCCCATTAAGTCCACACCAACCCTCCCATCCAGATCCATCAAACCCCCTACCCTATAACCTTGTATTTCCCATGGCTAATTCACCTAGCCTGCATATCCCTGGACCCTATGGGCAACTTAGTATGGCCAATCCAACTAACCTGCACATCTTTGGACAGTGGGAGGAAACCAGAGCACCCAGATGAAATGCATGCAGACATGGGAAGAATGTGCAAATGCCACATAGGCAGTCACTGGAGGCTGGAATCAAACCTGGGTCCCTGGTGCTGTGAGGCAGCAGTGCTAACCACTGACGCATCATGCCGCCCAATGATCTTATAGGGTCAGATTTCCAAGGACAATTAAATCAAGCTGTACTTGGCTTTGTAAGTAGGGGAACTGAATATATAAACAAGGAAGTTGTATTAAACCTAAACATCTCTGTATAGGTCTCATACTGTATACAATAATGGACATTCATTTTAAAAATGATCACAAAACCTTTGAGTGTAGCAAACAGGCTTAAGTGACTCATAGCAGAAATTAGGCACTCTCACAGCAGAAATTAGGCACTGTCATGTTACATGGGGAAGCATTGCAAAACTGATTGTTCTGTTGAGAAATGAACAAGCATTTGTTTCAAAAACAATTAGAGGACAATGAGGTCTCCCATTTTTAACATTTATGGCAAAAGGCTGGAATTGATTAGTTCATTCAAAGAACTGGTGGCGGCATGCCGGTCCAAATGGTTTTCTTCTGCACTTTAAGCGTTTGATTTTTCAACAAAAGTTCTTAGACACCCTGGTTTAATCTTAACCTAACCCATCCATGGAGAAACTGCAATTCCATTATATCCCCTTTCCTGAATTCAATTCTTCATTTAATAAAAGAATGCCATTGGATTCCTGCCTATTGATACAGGTTAAAATCATTTCCATGTAGATTAAATAAAACACTTAAAATGTTCTCCAAACTTAGGTCAGGACTTAAATGTAGCCACAAAATCTCATGTTCTTAATGAGGACATGCTTTAAGAAATTAAAGTATTCTTTTAAGCTAATTATAAAAATGTCAGGAATCATTTCACTCAAGTAATCCAAATAATTGGGCTTCTTTAACATTATAATTTTAAAAGGTACATAGTCTGGTAACATTTAGCTTGGTTAACATTTAAACTAAACTACGAAATCTTAATGTTGTCATTACAATGTTAGTGAAACTGTCAGCTTTCTTTGAAATTTGCAAAACTGACAGCAATTTCTAATGTCAGTGTTATGTTCAGTTAAATGCAGAAATCTGGAAATTGTTAAGTGATCTCCCCTATAATCTCCATGAGGTGATGAAGCTCTCACAGATAATAATTCGGAATTACTAACTTGAAGCTGAACAGCTTCTTTGGTACTCAAAACCAAGCTTGTATTTGTGGATCATCAAGTTTCTCCAATCCATCTCAAATTCCGTAGATTTATTTTAAGTTTGTTTATGATAGAAATTAAGTTACCTTAATTCCATGTGTATGTTCAAACTTCTAATTTGCTTTCTGTAAAGTAATGGCAATGTGTACTATAAAACCTGCTTGCCACTTCCTGATCTGCAGTCCTTGAGAATGCTTCAATGTAACTGGCTGCTTCACGTGGCTGGATGACTTCAATGTTGCTGATGCCAGAATGAAGATAACTTCAGGAAAGTGAATTCCAGAACAAGAAAATCACTGGATGTATATGGGCAACATTTTTTTTGAGTCTGTAGCAACATTGTTTTACTGCTGGCCACGAAATTCCAAGAAAATATGTTACCAAAGATCCTAAACTAGTTCCTAAATTAATTCCTAGCTTTACAAAGGATGTAATTAAGTTTGGTGCCAGTCAATTTATTCAAGAGATCAATCTTCTCAAGGACTAGGTATGGTCAAGTTCCAAACTTTGCTTGAAAACCTGAAGCACTGATGTTTCCAACAGTACAAATGACCAGTAAACACAGTTACACTCATGAGGTGCCAATTGTTTTCATTCAATTTTTTGGACTGATATATGAATCAATCAGGGCAAGGGAGTTCAAAATCTGACAGAAATGAGAACTGAAATTTAAACATGATCATTTGGACTCCAAACTCAATACTGTTCAAAATGCCATTGCAACATCAAAATAAAACAAAGAACTGTAGACGCTCAAAATCTGAATCAAAAACAGAAATTGCTGGAAATGCTCAGCAGGTCTGGCAGCATCTGTGAAGAGAAAACAAAGTTAACATTTCGAGTCCAGCAATCCTTCAGAAAATGCTGCCAAACCTGTTGAGTTCTTCCAGTAACTTCTGTTTTTGTTGCCATTGGTTCTTTAGACTCAAAATGTTAAAAGCCAGGATAGAAGTTAATTCTGTTTCATTTCCACTCGTGATTTGACTCAGTCCTTCTTGACAGAAGTCCCACATTAGAAAAAAAAAACAGAAATTGCTGGAAATGCTCAGCAGGTCTGGCAGCATCTGCGAAGGGAAATCAGAGTTAACGTTTCAGATCCGGTGACCCTTCCTCAGAACAGTGATAACTCTGATTTCTCTTCAGAGATGCTGCCGGACCTGAACTTTTCCAGCAACTTCTGCTTTTGTTTCTGATTTACAGCATCTGTAGTTCCTTCAGTTTTTTAAAAAAAAAAAAATCACGCATTAGTCTCAGAATAAGGGACAAACCATTTAGGATTGAACTGGGAAAAAATTCTTCACTCAGAGTGAAAGTGTCTGCTCCAGACTGCTGTGGAGATTCATTCATTGAACATGTTTAGCAATCAAGGATACAGGCCTGAATTATTTCAATTGACAGGATGTGGGTGTAGCTGGCTCGGCCAGCATTTACTGTCCATCCCTAATCCTCAGAGGGCAATTAAGAGTCAATCAATCATATTGCTGTGGGTCTGGAATCACATGTAGGCCAGGCCAGGTAAGGATGGCAGTTTCCTTCCCTAAAGGACATCAGTGAATGATCTATACTCACTCCTATTTCTTATGTTCAGTATTTTAAAGGTCCCCAAATTGACTACCTGGCAACAGGTTTATTCAGAATGAAAAGGTTCATCTTTTCAGCTTCATCTAAGATCTAATGCAGTTGAAGGTGTACTTGATATCAACTCAAAAATGTTGCTGCACTCACTTAAAAGGTTCAATCATTTCTTCTGTGACAAAATTCAAGTAATTCCTAAAATGAAAGAAAAGTTGCTTTAAAATCCAACAAAAAATAATTCTGGCAGAACAAAATCAAATCAAAATTATTGCATAATATGGTAGATTTTACAAGTCTACAGTCCCAAGGTTACTTAAAAAGCATTTTGCAAAGCTACAACCAAGTTTTAAGTTTAACATTGTATTCAGAGATTTCCTGAGTCGGGCTTCCTGAAAACTGCCACTGGAAACAAGACAAGAATACAATGACAGTTGAGGGAGCTGATTAAAGCTATTGAAAATACTGCAATAAATACTCAGTACTCAGCTGTTTTTTTTTAAAATGAGTAGTGGGAATGATTTTGTTCACATTACTATTGATATGAGTTTCCTCTCTACAAGAGGAAGATTTTTTGAATCACATCAAAATGGGTGAAACCTTTTCTGCTGCATATCAAACGATGGACAACAAGAAACACAATCAGCAGCAGCCTGTTATTGACAGAATTGCAGCTAGCCATGAGAAGGCAGAGCAGTAGAAGGACGTAGCTCATAGGAGGCAAAATGTTTGGTACAGGATATACTGGCCAAGACATTTCCTTAATATATCAGAGTAGCAATTTTTCAGAAAGCTCAGGGTGGTATGTGAGATAGCAGCAGGTGTTTATGGCTTTCAATAAAAAAAAAAGTGATCTAATCCCAGCTGGACATGTTTTGCCTGTGGCAATCAAAATAAGCACTACCACAGCTTCTTTGCCTCTAGATGCAGCCAGGATTCTACCAGAGATTCTTTTAGGATATTCTTGTCAATGGACCACAGATACAAATATTGGCCTGGGAATTGTATGAACTTTGCCTGCAATGATACCAGTCAGAATTAATGAATGCTCAGATATGCAACATTAGTTGGCCGATGTGCAGGGAGTCTTCAATTTGCACTTACATGGCAATCAATGAATTCCCAGTTCAGCCATAAGTACTCTTTTGAAAAAATCTGGTCATAAAACGTAGGCTGTTCTGGCCATCCAGCTTTATTTGCCTGTCCCTAATTGTTGTTTAGGAGATGGTGGCCAACTGCCTTCATAAACTGATGCATACATAAGGTGTAGGTGCTCTCACAGTGCTATTCGGAGGGGATTTCCAGAATTTTAACCCAGTGATATTAAAGGAATAATGATATGGTTTCAAGTCTGGAAGGTGTATGGCTTTGTAACTACTTGTAAATTTGCAAAGTTTCCACTCAGGCAACATGCAGATGGCGGGCAATCACAAAAATATATTTCTGTGATAATGCATAATATTCCAGGGGAGTTGCCATGCTGCTTTTATCATGTTAAGCTCCCTGAATATTTCAAAGTTGAAAACAGACTTAAGGTGTAGCTGCGAGGTGACAAGGGACGCTCACTTCAAATGCAGTTTACCACACACATCACTGACCAATGAAGACCGACTGTGCTACAATAAATGCCACATGACCACTAGATGTAGTTCAAATACATGATGTATCTGAAGCCATTCCACATGCAGCAGCCAGGATCTGCAGGATGGTTGTGGTGTGCTGTCCTCTGCATAATAAGGTGAGGATAGAACTGCACAGGGAATAAAGTGTAACCCACAGATTATCAACAGGTAAATTTTAAAGAAAAATGAGAATCAGCAGGGATTAGATGAAGGAGGCAATGCAACACCAGCTGCTCAGGATGCCAGGGAAGTCTGCATTAAACTTCAGTTGGTTACCAAATTCATGCCCAGCCTTCCTGCAATCCCATCCTGAGCATCACTGACATAAAAGTAGTCCTGCAAACAACAAACCACACCTTGTAAATCCCCTCATTGCTCTCCATCAATTCATGTTTTCTTATTTGTTACAGATAGGGTTAGAGCCTACTGGTAGTGTCTACCTGCACTCATGTTTTCGGATACCAAGCAGGATACAATCCCTTATGCCTGTGATGTTAGGGATTGTGGAGTCTCCTTAAATGAACAGGCCAGTTACATCATATCTTTTTCTTTTGCTTTAACCCTTAATTGTATCTATTTGTCGGTCTTTGTGTGAATGGGGAGCCAGAATCAAGGAAGATTGGGTTTAAATCATAGACATTAATTAGATTACTTGGTTGCTTAACTTTGCTCTGCTAAAGCTACTGTATTACTAAAATTGTTAAATCTTTTGTTTAACCTATAAATGTGGTGTCTGATATCAGTTACTTACAAAGTCTGGTGCTAGCTATTCAAAAGGTCGGATTAGGAGCCACTGGAATAATTCATTAAGTATTTTAGTTTTACTATGTTGCAAAGGCAAGGTTAGGGAGGGTTCTGAGGAAGGGTCACCAGACCCGAAACGTTAACTCTGATTTTTTTTCTTTCCAGATGCTGCCAAATCTGCTGAGCTTTTCTAGCAACTTCTGTTTTTGTTCCTGATAGGGAGGCTGATTTGACTGGGCTGGCTGCCCCTGTGTTTTAACAGGAGAAAAATAACTTTGCACTTTTCATGTTGATTAGATGTTTCAAAGCACTTTAATGCCAACTTTGTGAAATGTAGTCACTGTTATAGGAAGGAAGGCGGTTAACTAGCACTTTTCAATCTCCCAGCCATTCAGCTTTTACTGATGTTGTTCGAGAATAAATACTGGCCAGGATACTAGGGATAATCCCTCCAACCTTCATCAAAATATTGCCATGAGATGTTTCATCCACACAGGCAGGCAGGGCCTCTGTTTAAAGTCTCAACCAACAATAATGAGACTTTCAACAATGCAGTATGAGGGAAGCAATGCAATCAGCTTTCAGCTTGATTTTTGAGTTCAAGTCCTGGAATGGAACTTGAACTTATAGCCTTGTAATGCAAGGTGACAGATTAGTGACAGGAAGACATGCATAGAAAGAGAAGAACTTAGAAGAGTTTAGAAGAAGTATTGTGACAGTAGGTTTCACAAGAGGATGTGGCAATGCACACAGCAGGATGTAGCAGCTGTACCCACTTTTCCTGAGCTAATTACAACATTAAAGCACTGCCTTTGAATCAGGAGAAGGCACATTGTTCCTGCTGATGATCTGTCATGTCTTCATAACACTTCCAACTCCAAGCTTTATCTTTGGATTTGACTTTCAAAAACTGGAATTGAGATTGCAACAGGTAGATCCACATGATGCTTAAGTAACCTCAAAGCCAAACCCAGAACTGTTTGCGTTAGAATGACACTGAAAGAAGCAGCAAACTTATTTCCACATTTTTCATACAACATTGGAACTAATGAATGGTCATCAGCTGGAACACGAACTCCCTATTTCTCTCTTCACAAACGTTGCCCAAGTTGCTGTGTATGTTATTTTAACTATTTCCTGTTTCTATTTCAGATTTCTGTTATCAAACTGAAATTCTGTTTTTAATTCTAACCTTTTCTGCCAAGTTCCTTTTTAAGTTACACACCACTATGACCTTGATATATATATTACCATTCTTCCATCTTTGCCGAATCAGTGGCTAGAATTTTGCTGTTTTCAAACTCAGCCCAAAAACAGCAGAGTTTATGGGAGAGAAACATGAAGATAAGAAAGCCACACAGATCTTTTGGAAATTACGCAGTTGGGGGGCTGCTAGTGGGCTTTCTACCCGAATTAGGATCTGGGACATGGAAGCAAAGGACTGACCAATTATAGGCTGAGCTCCCATGGCAGGTCTCTGACTCCTGGGACCAAGGATCACCAACTGGAAAGGTTTTTGTTTATGGGTGAAGGGGTGTGTTGCTGGGCCACGAGGAATGTGCACGAAGTGTAGTGTAGTGTGTGGCTGTTAGTGGTCACTCCCTGCCTTTGGTCCAGCTCCTCGATCATGAGTGTAGATCAAGAGACTCCAACTATAAACTGATATCCTTCCCACGCTAGTTTACCAGTTGGGAATACCAACTCTTTCTTGTCTGGCCTTCAGCTGAAATAAGGGATTATTTCTTTAGCAGTCATTAATTTACAAATTAATGGTGTAAATTGGCAGCAGGGTAGGGAGGTGGAACTTGGGTCTTCCCATCCAGAACTTGATTCCAGTAAGGAAAGGAAGTTGGTGGGGTTGTGGTCTCTCACTACTTACTTAATTAAGTTCACTTCCTACCTCTGAGCCTGCTGCCTCCAATTCCAGAAGATTTCTTCCAGTGATTTGGATTCTATGTCTAAAATCAATACAGGGCTATCACGATATGAAATGCAGCCGTAGAAGGGAAAGGTCCTTAGAGGGATAAGCAGGTGACCTTGCAAAAGCCACAAACACCGCAACATTGAATAAATCCCATAAATAATGAGCTTCTAACACGAGGGACACACATCAGTCCACAAATATTATTAAGATACGTTAGATTTGGGAGAATCCAGTCAGACCTACTAATTTCTCTGCCGAACTCAAGACGATATATTCTCCTAGCTTATGAAGCTGTATACCACAGCTTATGAAAGGTACCCTTACAAAACATGCTGAAAATTACACAGAAATAGAGATTAAAGTGACAAAATGGATAAATCTAATTTATGTGAATGTTTTCAAAGATTGAATGATTTTAAAAAATTCTATGCTTTCTCTCTCCAAAAACAAGACTAACATTCTTTCAAAACTATCTATTGCATATGCTTCAATTACTTACCTGGTAACTTGTTTAACAACTGTATTATTCTACCTGATTATTTTCTTTTTCTCCCATATTCCTGAATAAAATTTGAACCTTTCAGTGAAATTTTCCTGGATCAATTTTTGTCAAATCTTCCACAATCTTAAAAACTAAATTCCTCTGCTCATATTTCCATCTCAATACCTATTTGGATACAAGAGACATTTCAATTCATGTTCAAAGAAATGTTCTATAAAAGAATGTTCTAAGCCCCAGGCATAAAGTTCCTCTTTCAGTACTTTTACAAAGGATGCCTTTTATAAACAATGTTTGCGATTGAAAATTCATGATTTTCCATCAGTTAAACCCTTTCAAGAGACTAAATGACTGCTAGGAAATATTGAGATTTACTTGTAATCCCAGTGTAGTAAAATGTGCTAATGGCCTGATCCGCTCTTTAGGAACAAAACATTGTTTGTATAAAAGGGTTACTTAAGTTATTGCAAGACTAATTACATATTGCTTCCAACAGAAGCCTGACTCACCAGCCGCCATATGCAAACAGACCACTGTATACTGCCAAGACTGCTTTTCCCACATCTGTGGTTGTCCCCTCAAAGGCCCGGTCAGGTTTCAAGTATGGGGTGTCTCCTGTATGGAAAAAAAGAGCCATGGCTACGATTACTTTTGAACTATATGCAGCAAGACCGAGACAACATCCAGTTTGGTCTGATAAGTGGCTAAGTAACATTCACACCACAGAACTGCCAGGCAATGACCATCGCCAACAAGACAGAATCTAACCAACCCTTGACATTGAATAGTCTTACAATTGCACAATCAACAACTTGGGCTTTACCAATGGTCAGTAACTGAACAGGACCGGCCATATAAATACTCTAACTAGAAGAGCAGGTCAGAGGCTAGGAATACTACAGCAAGTAAATAAATCTCCTGACTCAAAAAGCTTGTCTACTGTCTACAAGGCCCAAATCAGAGTGTGATGGAATAATCCCCATTTGCCTGGATGTGTGCAGCTCCAAAAACACTCAAGACCTTTAAGACAATACGATGTAGGAACAAAAGGAAACCATTCGGCCCCTTGAATCTGTTCTGCCATTCAATCATGGCTTATTTGATAATGCACAACTCTACTTTCTTGCCTTATCCGCATTGATAGCCTTATTGATTAAAAACTTGTTTATCTCTGTCTCGAATATTGTTAATGACCCAGACCCGATAGCTCTCTGCAGTGAACAATTCCACAGATACATTACCCTCAGAAGAAATTCCTCCCCATCTTCCTATTAAATAGACAACCCCTTACTCAGATTATGCACTCTGGTCTTAAGACTCTCCCACAAGGAGAAACAAAGTCTTCACTACTGTCAAGCCTCCTAACGATCCCATACATTGCAACAAGGTCACCTCTCAATCTTCTAACATCCAATGGGTACAGGCTCAACATACACAACTTCTCCTCATAATAAAATTCCTCAATGCCTGGTATCAACTTAGTGGACCTTCCCTGGGCTGCCTCTAATGCCAGTACACCTTTCCCTAGATAAGGAGCCCAAAATTGTTCATCGTAATCCAGGCATGTTCAGTTTTAGCCAGACTTACCTATTTTTATACTCATTCCCATTGAAATAAAAGGTGAACATTCCATTTGCCTACCCTAGCAACTGTTGAACTTGTATGCTGGTTTTTTGTGATTTATGCATGAGGACAACCAAATCCCACTGAATTGCAGCTTTTGGCAGACTTTCTTCATTTACAAAAACTTATAAGGCAGCAAGATTGAAAGTAAGTATTTTGTGCACCATAATCAAACTCCCAGAGTGGTGCAACGGCTTCAGGAGTTCACTACCACTGAAATCTCTGTTCCAGTATGCTGCAAATATGGCACCATTTTTCCACTGGACTCTCCGCCATGCTTTGCCTACTCACTGAAGGCCTCTAATGATGCGTTTCAGAATCTGGTAATTTTCAGCAAAGACAGTGGCAAATTTCAACAATGCAACATAAATTCTGCCCTTATGAGTAACTGTTAAGGATCCGAATTCAACTAGTTAGATTCATCCTGTAGTGTTTTGCAGTAGGAAAATGCATAAGCAGATTTTTGTTTGGTTATAAATCAATCTCACTATGTGCAGCTCGTTCTCACAGTTCTAAGACAAAGTAAAATGTAGAGTGAAATGAGCATTTGCTGCTTTATCACTGGCATCAACTCAAAACAAATTCATGTTGCAGCAGTGTTACAATAACTATCTGACGCATCATCATTTCATGATTAAATGCTTCTTGATGGATTTCTCTGAAGTCAAGTATCAGTGTGAATTTACAAACTGAGATATTTCAAGCTGTATTACTTGATTGTTAAGATTATTTTGGATTGAGTATTTTGTTCATGCAGACACATTGGCACTAGTAGAGATGTCTCAGCAGTTCACTTTGATTTGTCAGCTGTGTTTAAGTTTCCAAGATCTGAGCAATTCTTTAAATGGGAACAGGAAAGCCATTATATGTCACTAAAGTGCTCAAAATGAAGATGTCCTTGAAATTAACTTCTTTTTGGGTCAGTGAGATAGCAGTATAGGATAAGAGGGACAAACATCAAAAATTATGGATGTATGCAGGATAAAATTTATAGACATCTGCTGGTAATTCAGTCACTTTCACATAAAGCAATTTATCTCCAGTAACTCAAAACAACATAAACACTAGGCTGTATCAAATACATACACATTGGGATGAATTCTGCATGTGAGAATTGCTTCGTAAAACCTGATAATTGATACTGTTTGCGTGAAAAATTATCATTGCCCCACCTTTCCAACGTATATTCTCTATATCTTTCTTTCAGATGACAAGAAATTATTGTGACGTGGAAAAATTATTAAACAAAAGCATTTAAGCTAAAGAGTTTTAGTGAACACACAAAAGGTGTGTTTCAGGAAACTTGCTCTTGAAATAACTTCCTCATTATAATTTTAAAATTATAATGTCATAGAGAGGTATAGCATAGGAGATGGCTACGTGGCCATTTCCTTCTGTGCTAGCTCACTAAGATTAATTCAACTAATTTATATCCAGTTGTTTACCTATAGTCCTGCATATCTTCTTTCTTTAGGTAATTATCAATTCACCTTTGAGTCACAGCTTTCAATGTGCCTCCACGACAAGTTTTAAACAGTGCATTCTGGGTCTCTTTCATGGTGTCAAAAAAGATCCTCCTCACGTTATCATTGTTTCTTTTGCCAATCACCTTCAATCAATGTTCAGTGCATCTCAAAATTTGCGCAAATGGGATCAGTTTCTTCCTATCTATTTTGTCCAGGTCCCTCATGATTTTAGCTCCTTTATCAATTTTCATCTAAAATTTCTTTTTTCTAAGGAGGACAAATCCACCCTGATTTCCCTAAGTCTTTCAAAACAAAAACAAATCATTTTGAGTATATTAGTATCTCAAGATACTAATTTATTCTAAGCTAAATATTTTAGAATAACAGGCATGATTATTAATATTCTCCTAAAACATTCATTTGCAATCTCCCAACGCTAACTGCATTGAGCCTGCAATGGAGGAGGACCTTTGAGGTTCATAACCAAGAGTGGCTTATTCCCACCATTACTGATCCAATTGAGTCAATCCTGAAGGACAAATCTGTCAGAATGGGCCTGCAACAGGTTGCAGCAAAACCAGGCACCTATTTGGCTTTCTTCTCACCAAGATGTCTATTGCAGATGCATATACCGTATTGTGTGACATTACCACTGTGCTAAATAGGATATATGCAGAACAGTCCTCACAGTTCAAAACAGCCTTGTCAGACAGCGGGCATCAGGAGCATCAAAATTGTATTCACCAACAATCTATAACCTCACAACTATTACTTTCAATCTAGAATCACTATCAAGCCATCGAACATTGTGATTCAATAATGAGTGCTAGAGAGAATGCCAGCAGCAGCACCAGGCATAGCTTCACGCTAAATCATGGGCACAGTATACTACGGTAGAGCTAAGGGATCCCCACAGGGAACAGGCCAGATCACTAGTTCGGTCACAACTAGTCATGAATGATGGTGGGCAATCAAGAAACTAACAGAACAAGAAGCTGACAAAAACATTTCCACACTCATTGCTCACAAAGTTCAACTGAAGTGTCCTTGTGCAAGTCAGAAAAAGGGTTCAGAAAAGATTTACAACAATATTGCCAGAGTTGGAGAGTTTGAGCTGTAGGGAGAGGCTAAGTAGGCTCGGGCAATTTTCCCTGGACCGTCAGAGGTTGATGGGTGACCTTATAGAAGTTTATAAAATCATGAGGGGCATGGATAGGGTGAACAGATAAGGTCTTTTCCCCAGGGTGGGTGAGTCCAAAACTCGAGGGCATAGGTTTAAGGTGAGGGGAAGGATTTAAAAAGGCACCTAAGGGGCAACTTTTTCACAGAGGGAGGTGTGTATATGGAATGAGCTGCCAGAGGCTGGTACAATTACAACATTTAAAAGGCATCTGGATGCGTATATGAATAGGAAGGGTTTAGAGGGCTTTGAGCCAAATGCTGGCAAATGGGATTAGATTAATTTGGGGTATCTGGTTGGTATGAGCAAGTTGCACCAAAGGGTCTGTTTCCATGCCGTACAGCTCTATGACTCTAAGTGCCAAATAAATGATTTATATTTGCCTTTTCCTTAAACACAAAGCATCACAGATGAAACTGATTCACTTCACGTTGTGTCAAGAAACAGCTGAGTTCAATGGCTACAAGCTCAAGGCTTTGGGCTCTAATACATTAGAACTGTCATAGTTCAAAACTCTCTTCTGGTTTAGCCATGCCTCTGTCCAAACTTGTTCTCGTACGGACATCTAACCAACTAAGTAGAAAATTGTTCATTTCACAATCAAATTTGGCCAATCAGTGCTCTCCGATAACAAGGTGTAGAGCTGGATGAACACAGCAGGCCAAGCAGCATCAGAAGAGCAGGAAAGCTAACGTTTCGAGCCTAGACCGTTCTTCAGAAATTTTCTGCTTGGCCTGCTGTGTTCATCCAGCTCTACACCTTGTTATCTCAGATTCTCCAGCATCTGCAATTCTTACTATCTCTGAATCAGTGCTCTCCGTCTGCTTTCAAATCATCAGTAAAATGACGGAAGGTGTCACTGACAATACTATCGAGTGACACTCACTCACCATGAAGCTGCTCACCAATACTCAATCTGGGTTCCACTAAGATCACCCAGTTTCAGACCACATTACATTCTTTATTCAAACATAGACAAAAAGAACTAAGCTCCAAAAGCAGGTGTGAGCAACAACTTCACTTCAAGACAGTATTTGATCCAGGTGTAGCATCAGAAGCCCAAGAAAAGTAGCTGACGAGAAACAGGGGAACCTCTTCTCATTGGAGTCATAACCAGCACAAATTCCCTCCCCACCCTTATCTGCTTTCCGGAGGGACCACTCTCTCTGTGACTCCCTTGTCCGCTCCACACTTCCCTCCAGCCCCACCACCCCCGGCACTTTTCCCTGCAACCGAAGCAAGTGCTACGCCTGCCCCTACACCTCCCGCCTCACGCCCATCACAGGCCCTAAGAAGACCTTCCACATCAAACAGATGTTCACCTGCTAATGTGGTATACTGTATCC